TGCACCTCCTATCTTGGCTTCCTGCTGGTTAATCTTTCCCTTCCTTTTCTAGATAGTTATTTTTGGCTGCTGTGATTATCCTTACGGGGTTTTTCCTTGCACTGAGTCACTGTTCTGGGCTGTGCCAAGAGGAATTTTGGCATTGTGGAATAAATGTCATCACTCTTCCTGCTCACAGTTGTCACTAATGGCTTGAGTTTGTGCTGTTGCATCTTGGGGCTTGCTCTGACACGGCTCTTCTCTGCTGATACTATTACCTTTGTCATTTAGATTAAATCTTTAATCAAGAGGACAAAAGAGACTGCGAATGTGCATCCAATGTATCGTGACCTCTCTCCGAGGCGTAAACTAGGTCCTGCCATATTTCACAAGACCGAGTCCCAAGATCGCTTGATTGAAGAGCTGCAGGACAGACTGGGCATCGCTAAACAGGAACGGGAAGAGTGGAAGAGCCAGGATGACTGGCTGACAGAGGGGGTCGTTATCACTGCCAGGCCCCAGGGGGAAGAGCAGAATGCTGGACAGCAAGTAGAGAAGGTAGAAAGCAGGGACATGTGCTGGGAAGTTTCAGCATGTCCCTCTGACCAGATGGCATTGTGTGGAGGTGCAGATTAAGTTTCTGAGCGTCCTAAGCAACATGAAATGAAGAACTAACTCGTTCTTGTCACCCTTGTCTGGCCTGAAAATGGAACCGGCACTCAGGTCCTAGTTCTTGGTGTTTAGGAATTGGAGTGGGATCTGCGGGTGCTGGTATCTGTTTGGGCAGCCTGCTGCTATCACATATCAAATGTCCATGTGGGGATTATTTTTAAAACCACGCCTGTCATAGAGGCATGCTTTGTTTTTCCCAGTACCGTACCTGTGCAGGAAGTTCTGGGTGTAAGAGGGTGCCTTTCCTTGAGCTACCCAGGGAAGCGCGTTTTCTAGTTCCCTTCTCTTTCTTGCTGCTTTTTCCCCTTAGATAAGCATAGTGGTAACAACCACCAGCCTTCCTGTTGCAGGAAGTGCTTGTTGGTTCCTCTTGGGATTTATTCACCTTTCTTCTTCCTCCGTGTCTTTCTAGGTGGTTTTTCCTCCAGAATCCCCGCTCCCCCCAAGGAGGACGGTCTCTGCTCCAGCCTCTCCCCCACTCCAGCCTTCCAAAGAAGCCGCAAAGACAGTCCCTGCTAACACTGCTCCCTCTCACGTCTCTGGCCCCACACCTCTCCTCCCGCTCCCACCTCAACCTTCCCATGTGCCGTCTGCCCCAGCTCCTAGTCCAGTCTCCTCCTCTTCCTTCAGATTGGCTCCCCAGCCTCTCTTCCAGTGGGAAACTTCTGATGATGATTATCATGAGCTTTCTGTTGTGGGCACCCCTCCCTCTGAAGACCCTAGGCATTC